ACAGTAGAAGAAGAAAGAACGCCATACACGTAAACTTTTGGCGCTCCACGCGGATTGCTTGGATCTGCGCTGGACCCCCTCCCTGTCGCGCGGAGCGCGCCCGTGGCGGCGCCAGAGGCGCCGCTGGGGGGGCCCCAGCGAGGATCCAAGAAATCCGCGCGGAGCACCAAAAGTTGTTTCTTCTTCGAGACAGAGGCACGAGCCAGTTTTGGCAGCAGGGCGGGCTCAATGGTATGTGATCTCGCCCTCGCGCGCTCCGATGGCGGCCGCCGCGGGACCCATGCCCTCGAGGGCCTCCTCGTCGCCCTCGTCGGCGTACTTCCGCTTGCGCTGCCGACCTGAAACCCGGCCCACCCGTTCGCCGGGAGGAGGCCAGGAGGACGCGGCCTCCTGATTCCCGATGCCTGAAGGCAGCACATGCTCTCCGAACAGAGCCTCCCCCCGGCCTCCACAGCGGGATTTTGAAAATGGGCTCCTCTAGCCGAGATTGGGGGGGGGCAACTACCCCAAGGGAGGAGGGGGCACGACGGACGGGGACGACACGAGAGGCCAGACAGCAGAGGAGGAGGAGCGGGGAAGGCGAGGAGGAGCGGAAGGGCAGCAGGCACGACGAGGAGGAGAGGAAGAGGGGGAGGGAGGTCCCGACAAAGCAGGGAGCCCCCCCAAGCGCCCCCCAACAATTGGCTGGCAGTTTTCCCACAAGGGGAACCGAACCCAACCCTGAGGTCCCTACAAGGCGCCTCCTCTCCCTCCTCATCCTCCCTCTTTTTAACGACTGCGGCCCTTTGAAGACCCTGGGTTCCCGCGTCGTCTCATCGAGGATGGAGGATGGATGTTTGTTGTGCTCTGCGCAACCGCTCTCGCGTGCAGACGCCCCACACCATACGGAGTTTCAAGATCAACGATAAACATTTCTTGGTGGTGTTTGTCGGTTTCTGGAGGTGCTCTGGCAGCGGGTTGCGCGCCTTGCCGCTGCTCGCCGAGGGCGCTCCAGGGATGCCCGACTCCTCCCGACCGGCCGCGGGAGGCCCCACTGATGCCCCGAACGGCTGCCGAGGGCCACAGCTGTGGCTCGAGAGCTGCTCGGAGGGAGGCCGCACAACTTCTCGCATCATCGTGGCAACAGTTATTTTTTTATTGGGCAGCATAGAGGACCACTTCGTGAAAGATTCACCTGCTCGTGATAAGTACGTATACTACACTCGAGAGCTGACAATCACGGTGTAAGGTTTCTGGCGGTTTTCCCCAACCATCCTGTGGTGCTGGGCCCTCAGTTTGAAGAGACAGCGCCCCGCGCCACTCCTCACTCAACCTCGCCCTCCTCCCTCCTCCTATCCCTGCCTCTGCCCTCCGCACCTGTCACCCATGTCAGCACCTCGCACATTTCGTGGCCCCATAGGGAGCTCCGCCGAAGGCCTCAGAGGCTGCGTCCGCATGCGCCCGCCGCACTCATTTCGGCACACCCCTCACACGCTTCGTGTCATTAGGAGTTCCACCGAAGGCCACAGTGGCTGCGTTCGCATACGCCCGCCGCACCTATTTCGGCACACACCTCACACGTGTAGTGGCCACGTAAGGAACTCCACCGAAGGTCCCAAAGGCTGCGCTCGCATGCGCCAGCCGCACACATTTCGGCACACACACACACACCTCATACGTTTCGTGGCCCTATAAGGGGTTCCACCGAAGGTCCCAATTGCTGTGTTCGAATGCGCCCGCCGCACCCATGTCGGCACACCCGTCACACGCCTCGTGGCCCCATAGGGAGTTCCACCGAAAGCCCCAGAGGCTGCGTTCGCACGCGCCCGCCGCTCCCTCTTTTCGGCACACCCTTCAATCGCTTCGGTCACATCGTCACATCTGGAGCTCAACCAAAGGCCCCCGAGTCTGCGTTCGCATGCGCCCGCGGCGCCCACTTCGGCACACCCCTCACACGTTTCGTGGCACTATACGGGGCTCCACCGAAGGCCCTACTGGCTGCGTTCGAATGCGCCCGCCGCGCCCAGTCGGCACACCCCTCACACGTTTCGTGGCCCCATAGGGAGCTCACCAGATGTCCCCAAAGGCTGCGTCCGCATGCGCCCGCCGCACCCATGTCGGCACACCCCTCACACGTCTCGTGACCCTAAAGAGAGCTCCACCGAAGGCCCAACTGGCTGCATTGGAACGCGCCCGCCGCTTCCTTTTTAGGCCACCCCTCAATCGCTTCGGTCACGCAGGGAGTTCCACCGAAGGCCGCAGTGGCGGCTTTCGCATCCGCCCGCCGCACCAATTTCGACACACACGCACACCTCACACGTTTTGTGGCCCCATAGGGAGCCCCACTAAGACCCCACTGGCTGCGATCGAATGCGCCCGCCGCGCCAATGTCGGCACACCCCTCACACGTCTCGTGGCCCCATAGGGTGCTCCACCGAATACGGCAGTGGCTGCGTTCGCACGCGCCCGCCACACCAAATTCGGCACGCCACTCACGCGCTTCGTGTTCCCACAGGGAGCTCCGGCGAAGACGATGCTCACAACTGCGTTGCCCACAGCTGCATATGGTTGGGCCGTGCCGAGAAAGTGCACAGACCTCCGAGGGTCCACGTGGTGAAAGAAGCAACGTTGGAGGTCTGGAGAGGAGGATGGGGAGGAGGGCCACGATGGGGAGAGGAGGGGACGGGGGAGGAGGCAGGGCGAGGAGGAGGAAGCGAGGGGAAGTGGGACGACGGCGGGGGGAGGAGAGAAAGAAGGGGGGGGGGAGGGGGAAGCTAGAGGGGGAGGGGAGAAGTAGAAGAAACAACCGCGTAACAAGCATTGCTCGGAGGTCCGCGTGGCCTTCTCGGATCGGCGCGGGCCCACTCTCCGTGGCGCGGTGGCGATCGACGAGTGCCGGCCTGCGTTTGGGGGAAGGGGGCGGGCAGGAGGGAAGCGGAAGAGTGTGGTCGGTCAATCAATGGGGCCCCAGGACACACAAATGAATACACACACAAATGAACTCATTCTCCCCATATTTCCCCACATTTTCTGGGTTTCTGTCTTCCCGCCCAATTCCCACATTCTCCCATATTTTCCTGGGGGATCGACGATTCATTGTGTCGGTGTGTGATTTTTTCCCTCCTGAATCAAGGCGGGAAAAGGGCGGGCGCCGAGCAGGCGCTCGCCGACCGCCGCCAGAGATGGATGCTGCCCGCACTGCCCGGGGGAGGGCCTGCGGGGAGGGAGGAGCACGCGGGAGCATGTCGCTCTCCTCTCTCCTCCTCCTTCTCCTCCTCCTCCTCCTCCTCCTCCTCCTCCTCCTCCTCCTCCTCCTCCTCCTCCTCCTCCTCTTCCTCCTCCTCCTCCTCGTGGGCCGCCCCAGGACACACAAATAAATACACACAACTAAAAAAAATATTCCCCATGTTTTCCCCTATTTCTTGGGCTTTTGTCTTCCCCCCCCACTTCCCATATCTTTGCACATTTTCCTGGGAGTCGGCGATTAATTGTGTCTGTGTGTTTCTTTCCCTCCTGAACCACACGCGTGGCTTCAATCGCAAACCAGTCAGGGCGCAAGGGGGTGACCACGTCGCAGGCGACTGCTGGAGCGTGACGGCTGCGTAGTAGGGGGGCCTTAGGCAAGGCGGATCACGGGGAGCAAGGGGGAGCGGGGTCACCACTGGAGCCAGAAAACCGGCTCCCCGCGGCCCAGATCAGTGGACCAGCGGGGAGGTCCCACCCCACGCCCTCGTTCTCGGCGTAACGACTTCTGCTGCCCATCGACTCGCGCTGGAGCGTCCACGACTTGCTCCAGCCTCCCCTGGAGATCTCTGGATTTAGCTCGGCGTATCGAGATTTACGTCGCTGTGCCTCGGCTTATCTGGCGGCCTGACCCCCGCAAAGCGAATGACAAAACGTCGTCAAGCCAAACCCATGGGGGCCCCCCACCCACCCGCAGCCACCGGCCCCCCGCGGTCCCTTCCGGCAGGCCGAGGGACCTTCGACGGCAACCTTTCCGCCCGCGCCGCCAAAGGGGCCGTCTGGATCGTCGTCCTCACCGCAGCGGAAGGGGCGGATCAGGAGCACCGCTGCTGTTCATCCTTCACCTCCTCCTCCTCCTCCTTCTCGTCCTCTTCCTCCTCCTTCTCCTCCTTCTCCTCCTCCTCCTCGGCCTCCTCGCCCCTTCCGCCTCCTTGACCCCCTCCTCCTCCTCCTCCTCCTCCTCCTCCTCCTCCTCCTCCTCCTCCTCCTCCTCCTCCTCCTCCTCCTCCTCCTACTCGTTCTCATATAACTCACCCCCCTCCGGCCTCCTCAACCCAGCTACTTATCCTTCTGCTTCCCCGCGTAGCCACTTTGGCCTCCTCCCTCCTCCGCCTCCTTTTCCTCATCCTCCTCCTTTTTGGGCTCATTCGATTCCTCCTCCCTCCTACATGTCGAAAAGAGCAGGAGGGCGCACGACCAAAAAGCTTCACCTGACTTGGCCTCGACCGCTGTGCGAACCAAAAGGTCGCCACGCCCGGGGCCAAGCACACGGGGAGAACTACACGAGCCGACCTGTGGTAAGCAAGCTCATGCAATAAACTGTGGCCTGAAAGAGTAACCAGTGAGCCGCATGCGAAAGGAGAGGAAGAGAGCGCCAGAAACTGCCAAACGACCCCCAAGTCAGCTTGAGTGTAGCGGGGATCGAACTAGGATAAAGAACAAGCTGGCTCTACGAGCGCACACGGTCACGCGTGGATCGACCTTGCTGTGAAGAGCCCCCCGCTTCTGGCAAACAGCGATACGTGGGGACAGGGTGCACCAGGCCGAGCAAAGTGACACACACGTTCCTCCTCCGTGCTATATCCTCTCATCTCATCCTCACTCCTGGCTCCTGTTGCTCCTCCCGCTCCACCTTCTCCCTCATCCCCCTCCTCGTGATCCATTATCCACTCTCCGCGTTGCCTTCCTCTTCCTCTGAAACCTCCTACCTCCTCCCTTCTAAATCCCTGCCTCCTTCCTTCCATATTCTACCCTTGTAACTCCTGCCTCCTCCCTCAAGCCTCGCATAATCCTCGCTACTCATCCTCCTCATCCCATTTTTCTCATCCTGCTCAGCCCATCCATCCTCCCCCTTTTCATCATCCTTCCTCGTTCTCCCCCTCCCTCCATCCTTCCTCCATCCCTACCCTAGTCCTCATCCTGCTCGCGCTCCTCCTACCCCTCCTCCTGCTGAACGCCCAATACGCCATCCCCGTCCCCGTCCTCGCTGCAGCAGAAGCAGACGAGGCACATGGCGAAGCCAATGGCCACGAGGACCACCATAACGATCGCGAACGCCTGCGGTGCTGTGAGGGCCTTGCCCACGTGAGCCTTCGGCTCGACACAGCGCTTCCTCCACGCAAGGTCTATGGGCTTGTGCGCGAGCACGTGCAGCGTCAGCATGATGTCGCTGACGCCGTCCTTGAAGCAAGTGTACCGCACCGAGATGGTCTGGAAAGAGCTCCGCGTGTGCCGGGGCCTGCTCGCTGCGCTGGCCCCCCCAGGGCTCAGCTGGAGCGTCGCCTGCAGGACCCGGCGGTCGTAGGACAGGCTCGGAGCGGGCTGGATGGCTGGAGGCTCGATCAGCCCCTCCTTGTCCAGCGACAGCTCCAGGACCGTGCGAGCGTCCTGGGCGCGTCGGCGGAGGGGAGCGGCTCCAACTGCAGCGGGGTGCCAGACAACCAGGGTGCTGGCACGCACACACTAACTGAAGGGGCCCTGGGACACACAAATAAACGCACACAAATAAAAGGATTCCCATATTTTCCTATGTATTGTCTAGGTTTTTGTCTTCCCCCCCCACTTCCCATATTTTTCCATATTTTCCTGGGGATCGACGATTTAATTCCCTCCTGACAAACACAAACACAAACACACGGCTGGACTCGTGCGCGGGACTCGCAGAGAGGCCCTTTGCTGGGCACACGCGTGCGATGGGGGTCGCGGCGCCTGGCCGTTCGAGGGGCCAGGGGCTGCAGAGGCATGCGGGCGCATGCCTTTCGAGCTCTCCCCCAAGCTGGCCACGTCATGATGCGCATCCAGCTCTCTGGTAAAAAGGCATCACTGGCCATGGCTCGGACGTCCATTCCCTGTGTTTTTTGTCGGTTTCGTGCGTGGTGTTTTCGCCGAATGATCAAGGATGCTCCTCGATGGCCCTCGCCGAGAAAAAATGCACACGTCCGAGCGATGCCAGGATCAAGCCCACCAGCCGTCTCTGCGTAGTCGTCTTGCTGGATCAACTACTCCATATCAGTCCCGATTGCCCCCTCGTGGAGGTGGGCCCCCCTCCCCGAGAAGCAGAGGAACTCGCCACCACCACAGCCGCGAGCAGCCAAGGACGATCCTCCTGGTGGTGTGTTCCACCTGTACTGTGGCGTCCCGCTGGAGGCATCTCCCGTCTCCAGCTGCAAGGCCATCGTAGACCTCCTCGCCAGAGGTGGTCCGCAGGTGGTGGTAGTGGTGGCTTCTAGAAGAGCAGCAGGCGGCACGCGCAAATTCGCCGGCCCAACGGGCCAGAGGCGTGCTGAGATCTCCAGTAACTAATTTAGAAGACTTCTAGTTCGCGCGCGCGCGGGGCTGCCCCTGGGGGCCCCTGGCTTCGCGCGGCGCCCGGATCAAAAATACCACCGTCTGGTCCCCGGCGAACCTTTACTCGGAGATGGTTTTCCTCCTGGGTGCGGCCTCTCAGGCCCCCCAGAGCGCGCCAAGAGAGCCCCCAAAGGCCCCCAAGACGGTCCAAGAGGGCTCCCGCAAGACGCCCCAAGCATTCTCTAAGAGAACTCCCAAGAGGGCACCCAGAGGCACAAATTAGTGATTTTGGCGGTCTCGCCTTTTCGGCTTTCCGACTCTCCAAGATGGCCCCCGAGGCCCCCAAGACCGCCCCAAGATGGCCCGAGGGGCCCCCAAGAGAGCCCCCAAACGGTCCAAGACGGCCCCCAAACGGCCCCAGAGGCGTCCAAGATCACCCAAGAGGGCCCCAAGACGGCCCCAAGAGGGCCCAAGAGGGGGGAACACGAACCACCAATCCGAGCCTTCCGCCCCAAGAGGCACCCGGGAGGCCCCACGAGGCCCCCAAGAGGCACCCAGGAGGCCGAGGCCCCGAGAAGCCACGATCGCGCTGGCCAACGCCTGCGATGGCAAAACACGTAGCGGTGGAGTGAGCGCAGCGATGAAATAATTCTAAACTCTCGAATCGCCGCTCGGACATCTTGGATCGGAGCTGCCTGGCTCTCCCCAGGTGCCGAGGCAGGGGGGGCCCGCCGCCGAACTTCATGAACCCTGTTTTGCTCGTCGATCCTCCGCCCTCTCCCGTCCTCTGGGAGGGGGTGCCCTGTCTGTCGTGTCCCTCCGCCCCTGCACGCCGGCCAATTCGCGCATCGCTCGCCCCGATGCCTCTCCGCAGGTGCAGGTCTTCTGCCCCGCCGCCGACAAAAGAAGTGCTCTTCGTCGATTGCTGCATCTCCTCCTCGCCGTCGCTCGGACGTCCATTTCCCGTGTTTTTTAGGTTTCGTGCGTGGTTTTTTTTGCTCGTTGGTCGAGGATGGTCCTCGATGGTTCTCGCCGAGATAAAATGCACACGTCCAAACGATGCCAGGCCTCCATCCGATCCTTCCCCACCCTCGGGGGTCTGGACGGGGAGAGGGGAGAGGTGCGCGCACGGCGCCAAGACGCCTCGACGACAACGCCTCCCCAGGAGCGAGGCGCCTGGGGCTCCCGGGGGGTCGGCGATGCGGCGTGAGCCAAGGGGCCGTTGCGCACAGCAGAAGCGAACCAGCACATTCGCAGTGCATGTCCCTCCTCTTCCAGAGCCTTCCTTCCCCATCATACCTCCGTTCCCCTTTCTCCCACCTTATCATAATATTTCTACTGCCCGCTCCCATCCCCCTCCTTGTTTCGCCTTCCACATGACCCTCCTCATCCAATCTTAACTGCTCATTCTTGATTTGATTCGTGCTCGCTCTCACTCACTCACTCCTCACTCCTCCTCCTCCTTTGATTCTTGATTTCATTCCTCACTCCTCACTCCTCACTCCTCCTCCTCCTCACTCCTCACTCCTCACTCCTCCTCCTCCTCCTCCTCCTCACTCCTCCTCCTCACTCCTCACTTGCTTGATTTGATTCTTGATTTGATTCTTAACTTCCCTCACTCCTCGCTCCTCCTTGCTCTTCCTCGCTCCGCCTCCTCCACCTCCTCGCACCTCCCCCCCCCCCCATACCCCCCCACTGCCCATTCCGTCCACCTCCTCCTCGCCCCCCCCTCCTCCGCCCCCTCCTCCTCCTCCTCCTCCTCCTCGCCTCTCCTCCTCCTCCTCCTCCTCCTCCTCCTCGCCCCCCCATACCCCCCCTACTACCCATTCCGTCCACCTCCTCCTCCTCCTCCTCGCCCCCCTCCTCCTCGCCCTCCTCATCCTCGCCCTCCTCTCCATAGTCCTTCACCTGGAAGGGCAGGCAAGATGGAGAGGATGACGGATGGGGGGAAATTCTCCCATCCCACCTCTTGATCTTGAGCAGGGACCGACCGTCCCGGCACTCCTACAATCATACCACGAAATGTTCTTAGAACCCGAACATGTTCTAAGAACGAAAGTAATGTTCTCAGAGCATGAACCCGACGTGCTAAATCAAGGCAGACTTCGCTAGCAATGCTCTAAAAACATCTCGTGGACACCACAAAAAGGTCCTCAGCACAATGTTTGGTAGGGCTATAGGCGAGCCGGGACGCTTCGCCACTGCTTGAGCCGAAACGGCCACGGAGGGCGCCTGAGCGCCCTCCGTGGGGCCACCTCGGGCCTCGCGAGGGCCCCTCTCGGGGCTCTCGCTCGAGGGCCGTCCTCGGGGGCTCTCCTCGGCCCTCGCCGCCCTGGAGCTCCCGTGGGCCGCCCGGGACCCCGTCGGACGCCCTCTCGTTGGGCCCTCGTTGGGGTCTGCTCGAGGGCCTCCTCCTCCTCCTCCTCCTCCTCCTCCTCCTCCTCCTCCTCTCCTCCTCCTCCTCCTCTCTCCTCCTCTCCTCCTCCTCATCTCTCCTCCTCCTCCTCCTCCTCCTCCTCCTCCTCCTCCTCCTCCTCCTCCTCCTGGCCCCCCCCCCCGGCCGGCGCAGGGCCGCGGGCTGCTGCCACGGCGGGGGCGCTGCATGCTCTCCCGGGGGCTCGACGGCTCGAGGCCCGCCGCGGGGCATCCCCCCCCCCCCCTCTGGAGCTCTGTGCTGAGGGTCGGGTCGGGCGTGTCCTCCTGCGCTTATGTTGCTCCCGTCCTGCTGAAAGGACCACATCCCAGAAATGACTCCGAGCCCCCAGAGAGAGTGTCGAAAGAGTGTCGAAAGACAGTGTCGGGCGAGTGTCTCCCAGGGCTCGACGGGTCGAGGCCCGCCGCGGGATCCCCCCCCCTGGAGCTCTGTGCTAAGTGTCGGGTCGGGCATGTCCTCCTACGGGGGGGATCTCGAACCAAGAATGACAAGTAGCCCAACAATCCTCAAAACTAGTCACAAAAATAGTCTGACAGATCCTCCCCTGACTATTTTGGTTTGACTGCTTTTGGGCTTTCCTCCTGGAGAGGGACAGGCCCGACATAAGCTGAGGGGTTCGATTGCGTCACCCGTCAAAGCGATGGTGGAATCCCATGCGGAGGTTCCTCCTGGCCGGCGCCGGCGAAGGCGTAGCTTACCGCCACCGCATGCTCCCAAATCCCCACCGTGTTCAAGATATTGCTGCCCCGCCCACCGACCAAGACTACGGAGTCTCACGTCGCGAGGACGCGGCCGCTGGCCTCTGACGTCGCATAGGCCGCTCAACCTTTGATCGATCTCCGACAGCGCTGACCTCTCGACACCTGCCAAATCTGCGCCGCTGGGGGTACTCAAGCTCGAAGGCCCGCGCCGGGGTCGCCGCCGCGTCGACGCGGCGCGAACCTGCCGTGAACTCTCACGGCGTGGGCCCCAGCAGGTCTGGACCCGGTCCCTGGGACCGGCGTTTTTCACCCCGGGCTCTGTGCGGACGGTCCCGGGGCGAGGGCCAAGCTTCGG